AAGGATGCCCACTATCCCCTCTCTTACTCAATATTGTACTGGAAGTCTTAGTGATAGCAATAAGACAAGAGAAGGAAATAAAACGTGTACAAATTGGCAAAGAAGAGGTGAAATAATCTCTATTTGCAGAGGATATGATAGTATACTTAGAAAACCCTTAACACTCAGCAAGAAATATACTTGACATAGTTGACCAATTCAGCAAAGTAGCACGATACAAGATCAATATACAAAAACAACAAAAAAAACCCAATAAAACAAAAAAAAAAAAGAAAATACAGAACTGGAGTTAAGAAAAACAATACCCTTCACATAAGATTACCACAAGGTAATCACAAGATTAAATACTTGGGAGTAAATGAAACCAGAAGTACAAAGAAACTGCAAGAAACAAAAAGAGACCTGGAGAAATGGAAGAATATCTCTTGTTCATGGATAGGAAGACTCAATATTGTGAAAATGACAATACTACCAAAGGTAATTTACGCGTTCAATGTAATCCCAATACAAATACCAATCCCATTCTTCAATGAGATGGAAAAGGCAATCTCCAGTTTCATTTGGAATGGAAAGAAGCTCAGAATAAGCAAAGCCCTCTTTAAAATAGAAACAAGGGAGGAGGCATCTCACTCCCTGATTTCAAATCCTACTACACTGCTGTGCTGGTCAAGACAGCATGGTACTGGTACAATGACAGACACATAGATCAATGGAATAGAATTGAGAGTCCGGAAATCAGTCCATCTACCTATGGTCAACTGATTTTTGACAAGGAGATGAAATCAGTTAAGTGGGGAAATGACAGCCTTTTTGACAAATGATGTTGGCAAAATTGGAAAACTATCTGCAGAAAAACTCAACCAAGATCCATACCTCACTTTACACACAAAAACCAAAGAGTTATCAAGGACCTAGGACTAAAGCCAAGCACTATAAACTTAATTTTTTTCTTTAAAAAAAAAAAAAGCTTGGAAGAACTCTAGAAGTTTTAATCTACAACATAAACAGTCTTCCAAGTATCCTGAAAAATCTACAACTAGGAGAGGATAAAATAGGTGAATGGGACCTTCTAAGAATCAAATCCCTCCATAACTGCCATTCACGAAGATATATGCACTCCCATGTTTATTGAGGCTTTGTTCACAATAATAGCAAAGAGGTGGAAAAAATACAAGTGTCCATCAACAAACGAATGGATACAGAAGAAAGCAGCTCTGGTATATTCACACAATTAAATACTATGCAACATTGAAAAACAAGAAACTCATGAGAGTTTCAAAATGGGTGACCCTGGAGGACATTATGCTGAGTGAAATATCTCAGTCACAAAAGGACAAACATTACATAGGGTCATTGTTATAAAATGGGACTGACATCGGGGCTGAGGGAAGACAGAGAAGGAGGGGATGATGATGTATACTGTATTGAAACAGATGAAGGAGAGAACTGTTTAAAACGGATATATGATTGGGTATTATTGTCATTACAGGAGTCCAAAATGAAGGCTGCACAGTGGAGATGACTTCGGAGGAGGGACTGCATAACAATGAAAGAGTTTTACTTTTCAAGGAGAGGAGTTCATTGGGGAAGAGTGGGTGGGCAGGGACAAAAGTGCAACAATGAATGAATGGAAAACCTAAGTCTTTGTAAATTTTCATTAAAATTAATAAAAAAAAAAGAATCAAATCCCTATGCACATGCTAAATTTTCTCCAGTAGGGTAAAAAGGGAAGCTGCAAACTGGGAAAAATATTTGGTAATGACATGTCTGATAAGGGACTTATATCTAGAATTTATCAAATATTTGAGCACCACAAGATAAGGGTAAACAGCTCAATTGAAAAATGGGCACAGGATATGAACAGACGCTTCACCAAAGATGAACATTCTTATGACAAACAAACACATGAAGAAGTGTTCAAAATCCCTAGCTCTAAGAGTGATGGAAATCAAAACAACTATGAGATAGTATCTCAACCCAGTAAGAATAGCAAAGTTTAACAGAACAGCAGACATCAAATCCTAGCAAAGTGTGGAGAAGCTGGAACCCTTACTTACTGTTGGTGGGAGTGTAAAATGGTGTGACCACTATGGAAGGCAGTATGGCACTTATTCAAAAAGTTGCAAATAGAAATACCATTTGACTCAGCAATTCCACTACTGGGAATATACTCCAAAGAGACCATAATTGACACCAAGCAGATATATGCACACCCATGTTTATCGCAGCTTTGTTCACAATAGCAAAGAGTTGGAAACAACCTAAGTGCTCATCAACAAACGAACGGATAAAGCCGCTCTGGTATATTCACACAATGGAATACTATTCTGCAATGAAAAATAAAGAACTCATGAAATATTACATAAAATGGGTGACCCTGGAGGACATTATGCTGTGTGAAATATCTCAGTCACAAAAGGACAAACATTTTGTAAGGTCACCGTTGTAAAACGCAACTGACACCGGGGTTGGGGGAGATTGAGAAATATGGGATAAATTATGTAGACTGCATTGAAACAGATGACGGAGAAAACTGTTTAAAAGGGATATATAATTATGTATTATTGTCATGACAGGAGTCCAGAATGAAGCCTGCTTAGTGGAGTGAACTTTCATTAATATTAAAAAGCCAAAAAGTAAGTGAAAAAAAAATTAAACTTTCATCAAAATTAATAAAAAATTAAACCAAAAATTAGAAAGTAAAAAACTAAAACCAAATAAAAACCCAACAACAAAAACCTGTGAACAAATTGAAAAAGTAAGTTTTAATCTTTTTTTATTAATTTTAATGAAAATTTACAGAGACTTCGGATTTCCATTCATTCACTGTTGCACTTTGCCCAACATCCCCCTGCCCTCCCCCAGTCCCCAGTTTGCTCTTCTCTTTGAAAAGTGAAAGTTTCTTGTTTTCATACAATCCCTCTTCCCAAGTACACTCCATGATGCAGCCTTCATTCGGGACTCCTGTCATGACAATATCTAATCATATATCCCTTTTAAACATTTCTCTCTCTCATCTGTTTTAATGCAGTATACATAATTTATCCCATTTTTCTCAGTCTCCCACCAACCCCAATTTCAGTCCCAGAAAAAGCTTTTTTTTTTTTTTTTGCATTCATCTAACTCAATAGTTTATTTCATTCTGTGTTTAACAATTTTCAAAGGGCTGGCTATAACGCAAAGCAAGAAACTTCTGGCTTAACCAGAACCTCTTCTTTGAGCTTTACCAGATAATATATTGCATATTAAACATTCTTAACTCCTAGAGACCAATATGGAAATACAGGACAAATATCAAGATAGTTTATGTCCTAGTGGAGGAGAAGTGAGGTCCAAAATTCTAAAGGTGATTAAAAAGTCTCACTAAAATTATAGATTTTTCAACCTGCAGTCATGATTTCATATGTTGGAGTCATGTACCATTGAATCAGAAATTACTCATAGTTGAGCCTCCAGAAGTTTTTCAGAGGCTGTTATTGTTGCTATTTGCCACTGAGTGGCTTGTTACTCATAGTTACCTTAGGTACAATAACCCTATATCCTGCTCTATTGTGTACCAATCTTGTTCCTTGGAGAGGGACATGATGCTGGAAAGGGTCGAGGGTTGGCAAAGGAGAGGAAGACCCTGAACCAGGTGGATTGGCACAGTGACTGCTGCAATTAGCTCTTGTGTGTCAGGAAGTGTGAAGATGGTACAGGATAGAATAGGGTTCAGATCCACTATTTATAGTGTCACTGTGAGTCATACTAGACTCAATGGCACCTAAACAACAACTACAACATCCACGAATATGGAGTATCCTCCCCCTTTTTAAAGTCTTTGGTACTCTTTGTCAGCAAGGTTTTATAGTTTCAACTGTGTAAGTTCTTCACTTCTATGGCTAGTTTAATATTGTATTTTTTTTCTTTCCTTTTTTTATTATTATTAAATTTTATTAGTATTAATGAACATTTACAGGGATTTTGGGTTTTCATTCCTTCATTGCTATACCATTCTCTCTAACCTCTTCCCCAGTTTGTTCTTCTTCCCCTGCCCTCTGAATGTCTGTTTTAATTGTCCAATTGCCACAGTGCTTGTCAAAGCCAGTTCTGTTTAATCTCCTTTGTCAGTGTGTCCTTAATATCTTATTTTTTATTCTCTAGCAGCACCTCAGGGTAAAAATAGGTAATCTCCTCTTGTGTGATTTACAGCCTCAGAAACTCAAAAGAGGTTCAGCTATGAGTTGAGTTTGAGTACTTATATTCTCTTAGATACTACTGTAAATAGAAATGTTTATCTACCTTCTCTTTCTGATTTCTTGTCATTTCTAGTGTATACAAATTAAAGTTATTTTTTGTTGAATTTGTACTCTACAACTTTGCTAAATTATTAGCTCTGGGTGCTTCATAAACATAGATTTTTTTTTAACATATAGGATCATATCATCTGCAAATATGAATAACTTTATTCTTTGCCTATCTGGATGATTTCTTGTTTCTTTTTCTTGTCTTACTGTTCTGGCTAGGACTAGTAAAATATACAATTGGAGTGATTAGGAAGGCACTTTTATTTTTTCCTGATTTCAAGGGAAAACTCTTAGTCTTTCCTCTATTAATTATAATGTTGGTGGTTATCTTTTCCTGTAAAGCATGAATAATATAGAGGAATTTTCCTTCCATTCCAATCTTTTTAGGTTTTCATCAAGAAATAGTGTGAGATGGTGTATACCATATTGAGAGATTTTTTTAGTACTGAACCATCTCTGCATTCTTGGGATAAGTCCTACTTGATTGTGGTGTACCATTTTATTGGCATATTGTTGGACTCTGTTCACAAGTATGCTGCTGAGAATTTTGGCATCTGCATTCATAGACAATTATTTCTTTTTTTGTGGTATCTTTTTCTAGGCTGAGAAATTAGGTTTGCTTCATGGAATTTACCCTAATTTTAAATACTCTATCCCCCTCCTGCCATGCCCCCTCAGTTGTACTTCATGAAACCATAAGAATCTACAGATTACCTGGGAGAGGATCAATTGTCCATGAAATTTTTGCACAAATTTTCTTAAAAATGAAAAATATGTTGCATCTCCAAATCTTTTGGCAAGAAATTGAAGAAGGAAGTAGCCCTACAAGAAAAGAAAAGGGGAAAAATATAGCTATCATTAGTTCATCAGAAAATGCTCATATTGGAATTTCTAAGTTACCTATCAAGCATTATGTACTTCTAGAATGTCTCATCTCACCTGTATCAGGGTGCCTTTTGTATTTTTACTAGTAAACTCTGGTCTGAAAAGTAAAGATCAATTACTTTGCTTTCAACACATTTGGCAAGGTAAGGATACATGGTAATATGAATTCTGGTCACTCAATGGAGACCATAAAGTTCCAAATTCTCTGCATTCTGACTATTATAAAAGGCCACTACTACCATATAGAGCTTCTTGATAATTCTTATGAAGATTATCCAAAAACGACTGGAAAAGCACATCAGCAGAGAATTGCCAGAAGTCCAGACTGGGTTTAGAAGGGGATGTGGTACTAGGGATATTGTAGCTGGTGTTAGATGGATCTTAGCTAATAGCAGGGAATACCAGAAGAATGTCTATCTGTGTTTCATTGATTTTGCAAAGGTGTTTGACTGTGTGGATCATAACAAACTGTGGCTGACTCTGAGAAGAATGGAAATCCCAGAACATTTAATCGTGCTAATGTGAAACCTATATTTGGACCAAGAGGCAGTTGTCAGAACAGAGCAGGGTAACACTGCATGGTTCAAAATTGGGAAGGATGTACGCCAGGGATGTGTCCTATCTCCACACCTTTTCAACCTGTATGCGGAGCAGATTATCCGGGAGGCTGGGCTCTATGAGGAGAATTGTGGCATCAGGATTGGTGGAAGATCTATTAACAATCTGCGTTATGCAGATGACA